AACAAATTAAATATAAAATTTTGGTGCGAATCGAGTGTTTGTTTTTTGAAAAATACACTTTTGTTTCTCTCCGACAGAATCGTCGCGAGAATCCATACAAAGAATTGACACAAAAAGTGGGGAAAAATAAATTCATTTCGTAATAGTTTTTGAAATCCTAAAAACAACACAAATTCCTATAGTAATCATACGAATAGTGGTGTCTATACTGTGTCTATACATTGATTATTATTTCTTTTTGACGGGCCCTCTGGGAGGGGTGACGGGTCGACCAGAGTTGAGACCTCCGTATTGGTATTTCGCCTTCTTCTCCGACGGCTTCAGAATCTGTTCCCAAGAAAAAAGACAAAACAAAACAAAACCATTCATTTAGATATCAAGTCATAACACAAATAAAATCCAATTTACAACAAATTCCTAATATTATGACAACTCATAGACAGTAATAAAAATATTTTTTCGGGCACTCTATGTATGTGTGTCTCTGATGTGTACACATTGAGGTCATGGCCCTGAGCCCGGAGACCCTGAGCGCCGGTACGCGATCGATACTATACACACTCACTATACACTCAAATGCCATTACACACAATGAATTCGTATATTAAGCAAGCTAATTATCACGAGAATATACTCGTATGAACGGCTATACTTCACTATTATTAGAAATATATTCATTATACGAGAATTTCATAATAACTTAATAGTCATTAAATGGAAAGAATATATTAAATATGAGTTAATTATAGCAAGAATATTCTGTACAATTATGAATATAAAAGTCATTATAGTATTACGAAAAGTACTAAAACATAAGCAAAACATCAAATAATAGCTTTAGGCAAATAGATATCATATAATAAAAGCAAATAATAACTCATTAAATCTGAATCCAATTAACAATTTTATCTCATTTTCAAATTCCTATTATGAATGGCAAACAAACTCCTATTCATTACAACAACACGTTAATTACACAGAGAATATTCACACAAAAAAATCATTAAACAACAACAGCGTCTAAGCAAACATTAACCTCACAATCAAAATAAACTTGATAACATTATTGCAATTAAAACTGTTTACTGTTCATAAAATTCTTGATAGAAAACACATTAGAGAACACTTAAAAATAGCCAAAAATACCTACAAGTAAACCAAACCCACTGCCAATTCCCTAGAAAACCGCATAACACTCAACAACAACTTAACCACCAATTCCTACCCAAACCTAAAGCCTACAAAAAACCCCCACAAAACCCACACCACCAGCACACATACACCGTACAAATAAACGGCTGTCCACTCACTTGAAACGAGCACATGAGCGTCTCATCGACGGACATCATACCGCCGGCGTTGTCAAACTCGCCGCAATAGTTGGGCGCCGAGAATAGGGTCACTAATTGGCGTTTCGCGAAGAACTCGTAGCCGTCCTCCACTACCTGATGCGCCCTACAGATCAGGTCCAAGTCGTGTCGGTTCAAGAACTTGGAGACCACGTCGGCGCCGAACGTGAACGACACGCCCCTGTCGTTCTCGCCCCAGCCCTGCACGTCCTTATCCGGGTCCGACCACAACAGGTCGCACAGTAGGCCCGTGTCGGGCACGTCCGTCGGCCGCATTATGCGTCGGATTTGTTCCATGGATTGCAAGTCCGGTGACAGACCTGTCATGAGACACAGATATACACGCAATGAGTTTGAGTACAAAAAACTCTTATCAATAGGAATGGGAGGGGAACGGTATGTGTTGTTGCAAAACACACGACACAATGCATACCTCCGTGACAGCAGAAGATCTTCTCGTCGATGATGGCGGCGATCGGCAGACAATTGAAACAATCGGTGAATGTTTTCCACAGTTTTATATTATAACGGCGTTTG